ACTATATCAATTATTTTGCCGCTTAAAAGAAAATAGTAAAAGAGGTAATCACAAAAATAACCCAAAAAATTCAATATTGATCATAAAATGATAATATACTTCGTTAAATTTGAGTCGATTTAATTATGTTTTCAATGGTCCTTAAATCATGTTTATAAGGTTTTTATATATAAAAAAAAATCATTTTTACAAATAACGTAATTCCAAAAAATATATATAATTTTCTTTTAAATAACTCGCATTTTTTTTGTTTCTCTAATCCTACATTGACAAATAATAATAATAATAATAATAATAATAATAATAATAATAATAACCAAAAAAAAGTTTTCTTCTTCTAGACTGCTGAGTGCTGATTTTCAAAATTACATTTTTACCTACTATTAGAGAGAGGTGCACAAAAAGGCTTCTGATGGGCCGAGATGGGCCTTTTTGGTTTTAAAAAGTCAGTCCATGTCTGTAAATTAAAATAGTCCATATTTATAAACTAAAATAGTTCAAAGTAAGAAGCTATTTAAATTTTAACACAGTTAAGATTTCAAAACAAGACTAAAAAATTGGTTCAAAATTATGACATATCAAAAATCGAAACAAGAAAACTAATAAAAAATATTGTTATATAGCTTTTCAAATTTGTGTGTTTTGAAGTTTTGCACAATTGTTTCTAGAAAAAAGGTGTAATAAAAAAATATTTGTGGTCCCCCATCTTAAACCCACCGTTGATCATTAATACCCGCATCTCTCACACCTCGCTTCTTGCTACCCAAGAGCCACTGTGGTGTTGTTGGGAAAGCTTTAGCCATCAGACAAACACCCTTATGTCAAATCAAGATTATGTTAAAGGGATGAAGCTTTAAGCAACAATCTTAATAACAATTTGAGTTTTTCTTTGCAGATCAAGAATAAAGATCTAATCTTTGCCACTATTGAAGCCAATTTATGAAGGATTTATGATGAAAATGGAATATTTCTTTCGCAATTTGTATTTATAGATGATACAAATGCTAATGATAATGACACGTGGGATGCAATTCTAGAAGATGATGGATTCATCAAATTCTATAATCTCCAATCACATATTAACGCCAACCCTAAAATTCCAGTTGATTCATGCAATAGACGATTAACTTGTTAGCCAGATCAACCACTTTAGTTATGGTGACTTGGTAAGACATGTGAAAGATTTGGTGGATAATCTATTGATTCATGTTCAAATCTTGACACTATTCAGCCCATGTGGCCATGGTGATTCGTTTGTAGTGACTCCAAGGCATGAATCATAACCTCATGTTTGCAAGGAGGGATTAGTCGATGCGTGAAAGCTGGTCCGGAACCCTCACTAGGGAAGTTCCCTTTCCAAAAAAACTTGTCCGCCAGATTTCGTCTATCACGATGGGAACACTTGTCAATGTTCTTCTGGACTCTCTTAAGTTAACTGCAATACCGCAAATCGATTCTTCATGTAACAAGTCGAGAAATACATCTACTCTTGTCAACACACGGGAGAATCTGAGCTACTTTGTGCTAAGGTTTATTCCACCAGATTCCAAAAGTGATTTAAATGGTTGTAAATCGTCGTTTTTTGAACAACTGCATTTGCTTGGCTTTGTTCTTCAATTACGGCAATGGAAATTGCTACCTATTTGATTAGATTGGTATCTTTGAAGACGTAATGGTAGAACTCGTTTGTCAAGTGGCTAGAGGGGTTCGGGAGAGGAATAAGGAGTTTTGGGTAGAAGTGATCATAATCGGAAGAATCCATCACCATCATTTGGTAAAACTCAAAGAATTTCATGCAGAATCAAAGCATCAACTTCTTGTTTACTAGTATATCGTAAATAGATCATTAGATTGATGGATGGTCTGCAAATTTTTGCTCGATTCTGAAACAAGATATAGTATTGCAATCGAAACATCGAAAGGATTAATAATTATTCACAAAGGAAGGCTCCGAAAAAGGCAGTGGTCGGAGAAGGTAACCCCATGATGAACATATTAGGAGGGTGGGTTTTGAAGTGTGGGGACTACCAATATTTTTTTAATTAAGCCTCTTCACAAAGATATTAAATGAATAAACAAATAAAAAAGAACAGAAAATGGCATATCCGTCATTTTGGTTATGATAGGAACTATACGTGCAACAAAAGTAAATCATAGGGACGGTTCAAATTTAAAAAAAAAATTAAAAACCAAATGTGTAAATTACCCTAAACCGCAAGGACCATTCATGTAGCTTCCTCTAAATTTTTTTATATAATAGAAAACCAACAAATAATATCAATAAATTTAAGATAAATGTTATGATTAATAGGGTAAAGAAGTCTAAAAGACTTTTCAACTAAAGTACATGTATCATATGCATATCAAGTTCTAAAGTGATAGACTCATAGACACAAAGAGAGAGAGAGAGAGAGAGAGAGAGAGAGAGAGAGAGAGAGAGAGAGAGAGAGAGAGAGAGAGAGAGAGAGAGAGAGAGAGAGAGAGAGAGACTAATTTTGTGGAGAGGATATCGGAAAGAAACTGCGTTCACCAACTACGGGCAGATGCGCAGATTGCACGACGGAGAAAAGAGAACAGGGCGGAGAAGTGAAAATCCGGAGTAGGAGAAGCAATTGTCCGACGAGTGCCAACAGAGACCTGTGAGGGAGATGCAGTTGGTCGGCAGTGTTATTCCGGTAAGATTTAGACTTTTCCGACTTCGAAATTTGTGGATCTTTATTATTTTCTTAAACTCAAATCGCGTGTTAATAAGTTCGTTTCTTTGATTTTGTTTTATAGAGTTTAATATATAGCTTCTTAGTTTGTACCTTTGATTTTGTTTTATTGAGTTTAGTAGATAGTTCTTGGTTTTAAAAGTTTCCGATTCTTTTAATTCTATCAGTTATGTTATCAATGATTTTGGTTTTGATTTGATCAATGATTTTCGGATGATTTAGTTAGTTAATAACTAAATTTTGTAACTCTGCACAGGGGGCCAAATTAACAAATATAATAACCATTGGATTATATATATATATATATATATATATATATATATATATATATATATATAGGGTGAGGTTCAATAGAGAACCATAATTAATCAAGGAACCAATCTTTTTTCAACTTTTAGAACTTATTTTTTATCAAAAAAAAAACTAAAAGTACAGAAATTCATAACTTTTTATCCTTTTTCCAATAATATAAAATTCGATTTTTTTTTACGTCAAATTCACAATGTGAATCTTTGAAAATTCACAATGTGAATCCGGATTCACACGGTGAATCCGAAAAATGGTTTTCACATTCACAATGTTAATATATGAATTTAAATATTTTTAAATTTTTTTTTTCGATAAAGACTAAGCTCTAGAAATTGAAAAAAAGATTTGGTTCTTTGAAGAACCAATAATTATGGTTCTCTATTGAACTTTTCTATATATATATATATATATATATATATATATATATATATATATATATATCTATATATAATCTATATATATATATAAACCCCTTTCACATCATATTTTAATCATCTTCTAATTATTCTATCTTTTTTTTTCTTTTTGATTATTTTTTATAAATATGTTTAGAGTTAATATATATAAGTTAAAAAAAAAATTTAATTTTAAAAAATCTTGAATCAGGTAAGTGAAAATGTTTAAATAATAAGTTGTAAAAAATTAAAGAGTTTAATACATCAAAAAATGTAAAAAAATGATTCTATTAATTACCATCAAATATTGTTTTTAATGAAAAAAATACCAACTTCTAATATCTTTGTTGAAAGTGAATTTGTTGAAAAGATTAGTCTAGAAACAATTGTGTAAAATTTCAAAAATGGAAACTTGAAGAGCGATATAACAATATTTGTTATTAGTTTTCTTGTTTTAAATTTTGACGTCATAATTTTGAACCATTTTTTTTTCTCTATATAGGTTTGTTTTGAAATTTTAATTTCAACACATTAGTTATTGTGTTTGTGTTCGCCCGTGGGTAAGGTGTCTTTTGTGCACTTCTAACCTTTACTAACTACTAACATATTTACAAAAGAATTCATTCGATTCTTGAGACAATTTTTATATCTCAACCTAGAGTTGTAAACGAATTGAAAATTCAACGAAACATTTTGTAGGAAATTTATTTATATTTGTTTATTTAATAAAAAACCAAACATAAATACTTAATTTTTGTTTTGTTTAGTTAAACAATCGAACATAATTGTTTTGATTGTTTATTTACATGTTCATTTATTAATCTTCATGTATGTTAATTTTAAGTATTAATCTTCATGTATGTTAATTTTAAGTTCTAATAGTTGTATGTTCATTTATGTTTGTCTAAATAAATAAAAAGACCATACAATTTTTATTTTTAAGTTCTGATACTTTTCTATAATAAAAACTACTTTTTTTATTTGTTTGTTATAAGAAAATGTTAGATATAATTTTTATAAATTGCTTTATTTAATTCGATTTGAATACCATCAAGTGCAATAAAAATTGTTGAATTTAACCCTTCTTGTAATACATAACAACACACGAGTCTAAAATTATAAAAAAAATGCATATATTTTTCTCTCAAGATAACTAAGAAATATATCTGTTGGTGTAATATTTTTTAAAGATTTTTCTCATTCTTTAATTTTTTTAATATTTGATTTTTGTAAACAAAAATTGAGACTATAACTAAATATTATATATTTATTAAAAGTTAAACTTCATATTTTCATCAATATAGGAGTTACAATCTAGTTTTATAAAAAAAAACATTGCATTTATCAATTTAATCTATTTTATTTATTTATTGTTTCATATCAAATAAGTATTATTACAAATTTTACATTCAATCATTTTTTTAACCAAAAAACAAACGAGTCGAAAGAATGTAACAAATCTTCCCGCCAAAAAGCCTCTAGATGTAAACCCCATTCTCCATCACGTCGAATCACCATCAAGTATCATCAACAACCTCCTACCACCACAACCACCACCACCAGATTCACAGACTGCTCATCAATGGCGGTGAAACAGACGGTAATTCTCGCAGCAGCTTCCCTACTAATCATATTCCGTCTCACCTCCGCGCTCCCAACGGAAACTATCACTAACGCTGCGGACACTCTCTCCAATTCCGGCTATGTCGCAATGTCCTTAACGCTAAATCTCGTCTCCGACGTTTTGCTTTCTTACCGTAACTCCGCCACCATCTTCACTCCACCGGACTCCGCCTTCGCTGACTACGGCCAACCATCTCTCGCCACCCTCCAATTCCACTTCTCCCCGTTAGCTTTCTCACTCTCAAAGCATCCGTTCCCTCCCATACGGCACCAAAATCCCCACCATGTCCTCCGCCACCTTCCTAACAGTCACTACATCTCACTCCTCCGATCAGGTTTCACTAAACAACGTCAAAATCGTTGGATCTCCGATTTTTGACGATGGATCGTTAATCGTCTTCGCTATCGACAACTTTTTCGATCCAAACTTCACTATTCCAGATCCTCCAGTGCAAAGCGTTAGGCTAGATCATTGTACGGCGTCGTTCGGAGGTTACAGTAATTTCTCGTTCCACGATGGTGCTAACCTGTTGATATCTAGAGGATACTCTGTGATGGCGTCGTTTCTCAATCTACAACTCCTAGGGTTTCTAGGTCAAGCTACACTGACTATTTTTGCTCCTATTGATGAAGTGATGGTTGATTATTCCGGTCGGTTTCCTGATTATCCATCTCTGTTTCTCCGACATGTTTTACCTTGTAAGATTTCGTGGAGAGATCTCATTAGCGTCGATGATGGAACAAGTTTGGATACCTATTTGGACGGATTCAAAATCACAATTCATAGATCTGGAGGCACGTTTAAGGTGAACGAAGCTTCAATTACTTTCCCGGACATGTATTACGGTGATTCGTTTGTGGTTCATGGAATTCGCGAGGTTCTTGCTCTACCAAAGCCAGCAGAGGAATCAGGTGATGGCGACGGATTTGATGATATTCCTATTGGTACTGTACTGGTTGCTACTGTTCCAGATCGATCTGAGTTTTAATGGAATCAGCTTTGTTGAGAAATTGATTCAGGTAACACTTGTAGATTCATTTTATTTGATCGTGATCTTGTTTTAAGAATTTCACTTTGCATTGTTGTACGATTGCAATTTGTCTTTCCAATAACAAAAACTGAGTAATCAACTTGTGATCTTGTTTCCTTCGTTTTTCTGGAAATCATGGAAATTAATGCAGTACTTTGTATGATCCTACTAAAATCTGATGAATCCATGGCCATTTGTTATAAAGAACGAATGGGATTTGTGAAAATCAATTCGTTGAATCCTCGATACTTGAATCTCAATAATCACCATTCAGAAATTAACATGTTTGGACCTACGAATTTTGAGCAAACTGTTGTCTTGGTTTACGAATTAACATGCATCAGAGCACTAAATAAGTTTTAAAGACAATAAAATCCTTGATATATATCGCTAGAAATGTAGTGGTCAATAATGAATTTGTGATTTATGGCTAGGGGAAATATTAAATTTTGAAATAAAATACTAAATAAAATTAATAAAAAGGAATGAATTAAAACAAAAGTAACAACTAACATCTACATTATTCAAATATACATGCATAAGAAAGAATTATCTGTCAAGTATGTGAATAATAATCAACTAATTAACTACTCGTACACATGCATACGAATTATCTAATTCTTTAAGAATATGTTAACCGTTAATTTCAAACACATCTATTTCTTTAAGAATCTGTTAACAACTAACATATACATTATTCAAAACCTAATTCTTTAGAATCTTTTAACTATCAATTTAACAACACCAAGTTCAAACTATGAAAGGATATAAACATCACATTCTTATATTGAAACAAACAAAAACCCTAAACCTAATTATCCCTTAAATCGACAACATTCTTGTGGTTTCGAGAACATATACAATTACAGTGAGAAATTGGTAACCGAAAATAAAGTGAAAACAATAATAAAAAATAGTGAAAACAAGATGGAAATACAAACCCGTTGGTTATTCACTCTATAAGACTTGGAACGCAAAATACATTCCTGAATTGTAGGAGTCATTGAATCATGGAAGAATTAAGTACAATCTAGTGATTTTTGTGATTTAATCTTGGATTTCCATTCTCCAATTTTGATTTTCTGAAACTTACTCTGTTATTGACTTCACCAACTTGCCTGCTCTTCAACTATTCACAACCGACTACCTCGCTACGGAGCCAAAGGGCTTCTAGCCCAGCGGTATCCGGTGTTGCCATCATTCCTTGAAGTTGAAGGTTCAAGTCTCGTTAGGAACATAGATGGTTCAGGAGTAGTTAATAGATTTGCCGTTCCCAAAAAATAAAAAACTTAAATTAGTTTATATTAATCTACTTTTATACCGCTATCTAGATTTTTGAAATGATTGGACCAAATTGAGCAACACATTAACACAATAATTATGAATAACATATCATCCTCCTCTCTCTCTCTCTCTCTCTCTATATATATATATATATATATATATATATATATATATATATATATATATATATATATATCTATATATATATATACTAGGCGAACACCCACGCGTTGCGCATAATACAATTATAAATTTAAAATATATGTTGTTTAAATATAAAAAAAGTCATAGTTAGTTTGATATAATAATTTTTATACTAATTTAGTATAAAACATTAATTATTTTGAATTATATGATCATATTAAATCAATTAAAACTATATACGCTTAATCGTCATTTTATAAAACTACATTTGATTAACTTTTTAATTTCTATTACTGTAGTTATTTAAAACATCAAACATTGTTTTTGTTTTTAAAAGTAATAATATTATTTTTAACTATTATCGTTATAAGTTATTTGTAAGATACTTATTTAGAAATTATTAATGTTTATAAAAATAGTTTTAGGAAATATTTTAATTGATTTGGGATTACAATTTAGTTTTTACGTTTAACACTATAATTTATAACTTATAACTATTTACAAAATAGTCATTGGATTTTCTTTAAGTTTAATTGAAATTTTCATTTAAGTTAGTACTTTAACACTATATTTAAATTAACAATTTAAGTATTTTATACAAATTATTCAAAAGTTGTGACTTTAAACTGACAATTTAAGAAATAATATATCAAAACTAAGTATAAGTAAAATATGTTAATTTAATATTCAAGTTTAGTTAATTTTAGGATTACAATTAGCGTCTTACACCTATTTAACGTTATTAACCAATATATAATGATTATTATAAAAAATTGAAAAGTAATGAGAATTTCAAATACATGCGGTAAAAAAGAAAAATATATCTTTCAGATTTACATGGAAAATTTAAAATATTCACGACTTTTACTAAGTTACTTTTTTGAAACGGTACAAAACAAACGATAATATTTAACATATCTAATTAAATATTATCTATATCACAGTATATAACATATGATCGATAACATCTATCTGATCTAATATATATTAACGATTAAAGCACAACATACAACAATTGTATTAAAAGAATCCAAAACCAAGAAAAATATATAAATAATTAGTATATAACAAACTTACAAATTAAAAGCTACAACATAATAATATATCTCAAAAAGTGGTCATAAGACCTCAAACCAATACAAAAACCTTTAAGCTTGTTTCCTTTATGAAGTTTGTATGTGATTTGTATGCATGTCTACACAAAAGATTGATCCTTTTATAGTAAACGTTTCATTAAGTGCTTATTAATCATAAGATAAGTTATAAAACCTTTGAGTGGTAAATCATTATTAAGAAGACTTTTGAGTTGTGTTAGTTAAAAGATGGGGGTTTCAAATGAATGTGGTTTGAGCAAAAATGATTTTATATGGAGTTTCAAATGCATGAGGTTCATGGAAAAATGCTAGCTTTATAAGATAGTAGACGAATTCTCGCGCGTTGCGCAGCGAAGATTAAAAATATATTGTTAAAATATTGAAAAATATATGTTTAAAATGGTTATGTTATTGACATTAACTTTGAGATGATATTTTTACACTAATATATATATATATATATATATATATATATATATATATATATATATATATATAATCTCTATTATTTTGAACAATAATATTCATTGACATCAACCCACATTCCTCATTAATAGAATTAAATATAATTATCTATTTAGTATTATTTTTAACAATTATTATTATTGATTAATTATATTTTTACTTATGCGATCATTTTCTAATTTCAATAATGATGTTCATTTATAATACAATTTATTTATAGCTAAATGTAATTTATAATTTGATGTTATTATCATTTAAAATTGTTATTCATTAGTTTTAAACCACTTATTATTAATAATAAGTTAAAGAAGACTTTTAAGAAACACTTAATATTATTATTAAAATGTGAAACATACACTAAATAATAAAGTGATAAGATAGACAATTTGCATTTCAAAAGAGACTTGCATGGATAATATGACATATCCATGTAATTTGATTTTCTTATTTATAATTATTGCTTATTAATTTTAAAACCACTTGTTATTATTAATAATTGAAAGAAGCTTTTAAAAAACACTTATTTTTATAATTAAAATGTTAAACATATACTAAAATATAAAGTGATAAGATAGACAATTTGCATTTTAAAAATGGCTTACATGGATAATATGGATAATATGACATATCCATGATTTTTAATTAATTATTGTTTTGAAGCAACATGAACATACAAACATGAATACAATAGTTAATTAAATATTATATATATCATCTTCCATAACATATGATCGATAACATGAATCTAATCTAATTTACATTAAAATTTCAACCACAACATACAATGATATTCTTAAAAGAATACTTAAATCAAGAAAATACAAAAAGAATTAGTATATAATAAACTTACAAATTAAAAACTTCAACATAATAACATGGCTCGAAAATTTGTTCAAAGCCCTCAAACCAACACAAAAAACATTAAACTTGTTTTCTTTGTGAATTTTGTATGTGATTTGTATTTGTGTGTCTACTCAAAAAGATTGACCTTTTTATAGTAGAGTATCCATTAACTGTTTATTAAATATATTATATAAGTTATAAAACCTTTGAATTGTTAATCATTATTAAGAGACTTTTGAGTGGTATTCATTAAAATAGGAGGTTTCAAATGTATGAGGTGTTTGCAAATTTTTATGGGGGTTTCAAATGCATGATGTTCAAGGAAAAATGCTAGCTTTATAAGTATGTATGATACTAGGCAAATCCCCGCGCGTTGCGCGAGAATAGAATTATATAGTTAAAATAATAACTTTTACCAAATTCTTACTTAATATTTCTACTTTGAAACAAAATGTTAGTAGTAAAGCAAACATATAGTTAACATATTAGTTTTATTAAACATTATAGTTTAATTTTTAAGTCATTGTGATATATACAATTATTTGATAATTTTATAAACCGTTTAAAATTGTGTAAATTATATATCAAATGAATGATAATATAACGGGTAACAAAACGTATGAACAAAAATATGAACTGCAACTTTTAGTAACATAAAAATAGAAAGACATCTATTATAACATTTGTATTAAAAAAGATATATATACAACGAATAATAAAAAATATGAAAAATAAACACTATAACTTTTAATAACATAAAAACACTAAAACATCTATTATAACATTTATATTAACTCTTCATATTTAAATCACAAATCTCTTCAAATACATTAATGGTTTTAATGAACAAAACTTTACAACCTTATAAAAGAAAGGAAAATAAAAAGTTATTAGTGATTACTAATTAATAATCATAAGTTAAAAACTCTTGAGTTGTAACTAATAAATATACATAAATTAGAAAACTCTTGAGTTGTAGTGTGAGTTTCAAATTAATGCGGTGCTTGGAAATGTATTATTATTATTATTATTATTATTATTATTATTATTATTATATTCGTCTAAATAATTGGTTTTGATGCATCATTTTAATCCCTTCAATTATTAAACCTAAAGATATTTAATTAT